CTAAACTGTTATGTGGTTAATGTCTCTATGGGGATAAGGGGGCTGAATGGCGCATATCCTACTTACATGTACATGTAGTACATTCATGGAGGTACATGTACATGTAGATTGTGATTCTACCTCCATGGTACAGTGTACATACTGGTCCCAGCAGTGTACATGTACATACATACATCAGGCATTGAGAAAGTCAGCAAAACAGTGCAATAAATCTGGGAAACCAGACAGTCTTTGACCTGGAGGGGGTCACTCAATCAAATGTACCTGTTTGGACACACATCATTAACACATTAATTTGCGTACTGTACAGGACCCCAGTACAGGCCTGGTAGGGTCTATGATGAGTTTGGGGTGGAAAATTAAGACTCATGACTTCAATTGAAGATAAATGTCACTGAGCAGTGAAGGAATTTGCAATGAGGCTAGACATGGTACACTGTGCCTCAGGCCTGTTTCTAATTTGGCAAGTTCATTTGGTAGGATTTTTATTCCATTAAATGCAAGCAGTACTTATATTGAATGAAATAGTGTAAAGCAGTCACTTCACAAAGACTGATAAGATTTTCCTTTCCTTTTGCATGGATTTGGCATTCATGAATCAGTTTGTGATGAGAACTAGAAATTTACTCTAGTGTGTGTAAAACACACCCAAGCAGCCGCTCAAAACACATGTACAGTACTGTAAACTCAAAGGTTCATCGCAAACTACAATGTTCCATACAAGCAAAGTACCAGCATAGTATCCCGGTGCTACAGTCAGCAAATGTGGGAGTCCTAATGTAATCTGGATTTCTTTTGTAAGGCCTTGTTTTCAACTGATAATCTATGAAAAGCCAGAGTGTTTGCAAAAGATACTGATCAGACATGAATTGAATGGCCACTTGCAAAGAATACACAAAAGAAGAAAGAGTTTAGAAGGCCCTTCAGTGACACTTGGTGTGTAGAGGGCTTTTAAATCCAAGGAACTGTGTGTTCATTTCTTTTTCAAAGAATTAGGAAAGAACAATGCCTTTAATTCCAAAGAAAAAAATAAAAGAGGAATTTGTTAGCAGAGATCTATTCTTTGAAAAACTCACTCATGAAAACTACCAATCGTACAAGTACAAAGATTAAATGAGAAAATTTGGAATTTGACTACAATCCCAATCTCTTAAAATTCCAACATGTAACGGTATTTTGAGATTCAAAGAGGAACTGTAACCCACGGGTACAGGTGTGATTTTTATTCTTTTCTTATCCCCATTACTGATTTCCTGACAAGTGTTTGTAAACTGTGCATCTACATGGTACTGGTACATGTATGCAAGTCATGTAGTATTTATCCCAGAATTAGCAACTTTCATTCAAACAATCAAACCATACATGTACATGTACATGTACAGTGGTAGGTGTGAACACCTGTTCAAAATATATTATTCAGTAAGATATGCTTTCTTTGCCTACTTCCGTAACCCCTTCACAAAGATTAATCATTAATATCTAACGACCAGCCACAATCCATGAGTCATGCAGCCCAATGTCCAATCAATTCCTGTTATCCAGCACAGATTTATCAAGACGTGTGTGATGTGTGTGGTGCTATGGCGACTTGTTGACATGTTACCATGACAACATGTCCAGACCTTAACAGCTGTTGTCTGGGTTGAGTCTTGGGGTATCACGGTTTTGAGGTATGTACAACGGATAACACAGGCAGGGCAGAGAAGACTATTCTGAAGTAGAGTTGAAATTGACACAGCTCAGGTGTACCTACATGTAAATGGGCAATATCTGTACAATGCTACATGTAACCAATGAATTTGTACAGATTCAATGAACACTCTGGAAAGACCTTTCTTTGGGAGGGGGGGAATTTATACCGATGAGACGTCAAGTACTAGTTCATGTATAATGTACATGCACTACCAGTAGTAACATACAAGTACAGATACATGTATGTATTACCGGGTAATTGTTTTCCAGTAAAAAAAAGTTTATTGATAAAGCGAATGGATTTTTGGAAGCCATTTACATGTAGGCTTTTTCGGCACCATGAAGTGAGGCTGGTATGAATTTTTGTTCCTTTTTAATACCATAATTGTAAAGATACTGAGTGAACATTGCCGGATGATATTTGGTAATTATGTAATTTGGGACATTTACGTCCCATGCCAACACCAATGCTTACTCTGCAAGTCACACTCAGGGTAGTCTAGATTGCCTTTTTACATGGTACTGTAGTTTTTCTTTCCAAATTGATTAAGAGTTCAAATTTTAAAACTCTTTCCAGGTAAAACTATGAAATTTTCATATTCACTGATTTTTTTTCTGGGATTTGTCTTTAGGATTTTGGGCTGGTTAGTGAGCCATTTCATCAAGCTCAGTGCTGGACAGAAGAACACTGTGGTGGAGATTGCTGACCAGCGCCGAGCAGCGCCGAGCAGCGCCGCCAGCATACACGTAGCTATAACACCGGATACAAAACTGGATGCAAAAAATGATTTTTTTTTCCGAGTACCGGTACATATCTGACTATGTACATGTTGTTTAAAGTCAGTTTTTGCAATAGTATTAACAATGCTGGATGGGTAATTTGTGTAATCAAATCAAACTACAAAGTAGCTGATGCCTGTTATCTTTCTGTTCCCAACATTGTCTATTCAACACATGTGTCATGCCCATTACCTGGTAAAATGTACATGTACACACAGGTACACCTTACAAAAGCTCCATGCAGATGAAAAGTGTACCAGACATGTACATGTGAAATTGGGCATTTTTGCAGCATGGGGTCCCATTACGAAAAAATCAGCAAACACTCCGTACATGTACACCAAACCTTGCTGCATGCATCACTCTGTTGAAATATTAACAAACACATTACATATACAATACATGTACATGTGTTGGTACTTCCTCCTTCCGGAGTGATGCACACTGCTCCATGTACATGTACAAATGATATTCAGTTTCCACAAACAGGTCTGGTAATACCTGTACCTGTAGTTGTCCCTGAATTTTAGCAGTCTCCCTTCCTGTTTCTTGTAATTTTGCATTTTCCAGGTTCATATTACACATGTACATACATGTACGAGAGCATTATCAATATGGAACAGTGTTATCTCTGAAGTCACAGGCAGTCAATAAATCCCTAACTACTACATGTATGGTATCATTTTGCTCTTTCTTGACCAACTGGTACATGTACTTGTGGCGGTACACCTGTATTCTTTGTTTAAAATGAAGAGTAGTCATCAAGCAGTCAATCCGTAAGTAATGGACGATGTCATGTACAGTAACCATGTACATGTACAATAATCTAGCCATTTAACGTTCATCCATTTAACAACTAGTCCTCCCAAACCTCCAGTAATTTGAATATTTTTGGACATGAGGGATGGCCCGCTGGAATGAATGAGTACAATAAATGTATCCATGTTTGAGTTTGTAAATCCAAATTTATCCATGTTTTATCCATGGAAAGAGTTCCGTATACAGACAACATTTGATGCCTCTGTGCACAAGCCTATGAGACTTGTCTGCGAAACACTTGGGTGTTTTCTGAGTAAATGCTTCAGAATAGTCTGAGCAAAAGTTCTCTTTTTAAGACTTGTTATCACTTCCTGATGTTGTAATATTTGAATGGAAAACAAGTCCGTTTCTGGAAATCTTTCCAAACATGTACATGTGTCACATGTATGTGTAGTGGAGAACTGATTTTACGTGTACCGGTAGGTCTGTGCATGGAGGACTGTTTTCCTTCCTCCATGGTCTTCGTGAGCTTTTGTACATGTATGTGTACATGTACAGGTACCCCTATGCCCACAGTGTAAATGTTGCTGGGTACCCACCTGCCCAACCAATGTCCTGTGCTGTTTAATTGACCTACAGTGTACATGTACTGTACATGTAGGTCCCCATTAATAAAAAAGTCATGGAACAAGGTGGTAAAAGTTGTTTGCTTGTTTGTTTTCTCCTCTATTTGCATTCATTAACATGATTCAGGAACACTTGTAGAACCAGCCAATTCATGTAATTCTACATTGTAAGTAACCAAGGCCCCACTATCAGTATTGCACAAGGCACCCTACCAGTACAGGTAGATGGTGCGTGGTGACAAAGGAATTGATCAACACTATGAGTAGGCGCCTAATAATGAGTCCTATCAGTCAACGTTATCAAAACTTGTGTATATGTACATGTAGGGTAGTGGAGCTAAATTTTTAATAGCCCCATAGGGCTGTGAATGGCTCTCTTTTGACAGTAATATAAAGACACATAAAATAGCCCAGCATTACATATGTGTGGGACTATGTGCCTGTCTACATGTTCATATACATGTATTATTATTACTATTCATTTCTGGTAACAACACCAACATGACCAAGGCAAGGATTCCTCAAATGCACCCTAGCTTAGGCACTACATTAATCTATACATGTACACGTACAGTAGCTCGTGAGCCCGAGGCTGAAAGTGAAACTGTAGAAAGCAGACAATGAGAAGCGGTAACAGGTGCAGAGGTGGGAGGAAAACCCTAGTACAAAAACATTCTGGGTAAAGCCCACAATACCAGATAAGGACTGCAAAAACCACACATCATGCAGGGGTACCCGTACCAAGCCAGGAATCGAACTCAGGCCTGCCAGTGCCAGGCAGGCTGCAGTGCAGAGGTGGAACGTGTGGACAGGTGGACGGCCACCGTGAGCTGTATTTGTGACATGATTGTTCTGTTGTGTTTGGCAAGTGTTTAGACATGTTAGAATAATCGCAAGACAAGCCAACGCCTACAAAAATGACGGGGGGAGTAGATTCTTGCCGAAATTGTTTGCCTAAATGTACATGTACACCTATCCCCGGCAACAATGTTACAATGGTACCTGGTGATACACGGGACACTTTTCCGGACACTTTAAGTTCAAACTCTTTCCTTGCAAACTGTATCCCCTTAATCCGCCCCAAACAAAACCCTGCTTCGATAACAACAGAAAATGGTAATAGAATAAATTTGTCTCACTTACCTACATTTCTGACGCCAAGTTGGACGAAACGTTAACCCATTTCCCCGGCCCCGAGGTACTAGGCCCGGTCTATGTACAGTACATATGAAATTCAATTCTGAGTGTTTTGGAGCAGTGCATTTTACACGTAGGGGTGATCACTTTGGGAGTCCAAACAATTGTTCATGTCAATTCACCGCCGCGATTATCTCTTGCTTCTCATTAATCTTTGTAATGCGTGGACGTGACCAGACTATATTTTATTATGCCACTAGAGGGCGCTATCACAAATTAGTGGGCTACACGTTTTGCGTTGGATTTCCATCAAAAGGTATAATGTAAAGTTATAGTCTAGTACGTAATAGTTTGTATGTGCATATGTACATACAGCATTTACTACGCGTTGGTGACAACCTTGAGCTCGTTGTGGGTGCCTGCTGTCTGGTCTTTGCAGAAAATTGTAAGGTTTTCCCCGCAAAGTTATCATTTTTGCCTTTTTTCAGTGGCTGCTAGTCGTTTTTTTATTAATTTAATCTAACTTTACGCCTAGGCTGTTTTTGTTCCCAACGTATTGAACATTTTTTTTATCTGCTGTAGTGTTTGGCCTGGACTAAAAAAGTGCTAGTAGTAGAAGTAGTACTACTAGGCCTAGGCCTAAACTTGTTCGGCCTAGGCCTGTTTAGTTTCTGCAAGTTGGGCTATAAAAAATTACAACTTTAACCTACCGGTACGCCTACATGTATGTCGCATTTTAAAAAAAGGACAAATTTTGGCAAATTATTATTGGTTAATTTTTATGTGGGACTTTATTTTCTCTATGTTACAATAAACATTCCCACGTATATGTAAGTGACAAAGGGAGGGCCTGTTTTTCTAGCAAGTACACTACTTTTCTGGTTCACGATTGATGAAGTAATGCAAGTATTACGATGGCGTCATTACCATACCAACAAGGTGACACCCTTCCCCTGGCTGATGATGGGGTACTTCAATTTCAAGCGAGTACAGAAGTTCAGCAGGTTTATGAACTTCAGTAGCCAGACAGCACACACTAAAGTTTGGGGCAAAATGGAATTAGGGGCCTATTAATTTTGGACAATCTCCAAAGTCCATCCTTACCATTGTGGCCATGTTGGTACATGTTGATGCATTGCACTTCCTCTGGCATCACTGCACTTGGGAAAGTCCTCTGAAATTCTCACACAACGTGATATCCACATTTGGAAATTGTCCAATTGCCTGTGTCGTTGTTTGTACATGTTGTACTCATGTACTGTATGCTTGATTTTTGATGTAAAGGGAAGCATGCTGGGTAAATGCTAACTTTTTGTCATCTTGAAGGTTTATCTTCCAGTGTTGTTACATCTCCTACTAGTTCCTGTACTTGTGGTTAGTCTTGCTTATCATGTGTGTTGGTTTGAGATGAGTAGCAATGACGGCAAGAAGACTCGAAGTTTTCGCAGCCTCAGTTTCAGGAGCTCCAAAAGTAAGTACAGATCTCTCTCATTGGATGCCATCTTTGTAGGAAAATTGCAACTGCGTATATACATGTATGACATAAATACATGTAAGTGCAGGTGCGCACAGTGTGCAAAATGTTTGAAACTCGCGTACGTGCTGATCAAAACGTGTTCAAAATATGGGGCAGTCAATGCGCGTCACGCGAGTTTAAGAAAGAAATTGCTTAATGCACGTAGCAATATGTAGGAAGTCATGTCATTTGAGAGAGACCTACATTCTTCCAAGAGCACGAATCCTGTACAGGATTGTATTTTTAGGCTTCGCAGCAGTGTTATTTGTTTGTGTGATACCCAAAGCCAGCTGATGCACTGATTACCTGTTGTTTGATCAATAATGGGACATCGTTTGCTCTTTCTGTTCTTTGGTCCCTGTCCAATTCATCAAGCTTTGCTTTATTTCAACATAGGATCTGGATTTGTATTACTCTGAAAAGGTTTAAGGCCCTGCATAATGTTGTACTGTATCTTTTCAAAACAGAGTTGTGTAGTTACATGGATTGATTTTAGAATTCCACTGAAGTGTCAATTAGACAATGTCATTGTTATTATTCCATTCTTTATTACAAGGATTTATTGCTACTGAGTTTCCTTCCAATCTCACGAGCATTTCCTTCCTTGTAATCTTGCCAGTGAGTTCACTGTGACGGTATACACTGATCAATACAATTAATGACTCATAAAGAGCAACAAGGAAAAGGAATAAACAAATTGAAATGTACCTTTTGTATTGTACAAGTTGACATGTACTTACTTTAGTACATGTACTGGTGTGTAATTAAGGCCATAGGTCTGCAAAAACAACATGAGACCTGAAACCTTACATGTAAGAAGCGCCACATGCGCTATGAAATACTTTTACTTTTCATAACTCTTATTTTATTTCCGTTAATGATGCAAAGGATTAGTCCAAAGCTTCCTTGGCACTGTAGCTCGTAAGCCTGAAGAAACCTGTAGAGAAGAGACATTGAGAAGCAGTAACAGTTTAAGAGGTGGGAGGAAAACCCCAGAGGAATATTCTGGGTTAAACCCACAGAATCTGCAAGGGACTGAAGACCCAATCCACATGTGGACAGGGCTGGGAACCAAACCTAGACCACAGAGGTGGAAGCGAAAAAAGAACCGCTTGTCCGACCTGACTGCCCAACATGAACATACGTGTACATGTATTATGCAAGTTACTGTTTATAAACTGTCTATGGATCAAATTTGAATCAATATCAAGCAACTACATGAACATGTACGGGGCATAAAATGTAGCAAATTTAAATGAGCTACCTGGTACATTTACACATGTGCATGTACAGTAAGCAAAAATTAGTTTGAACCGATAAGCAGCAGTGCTTGTATTCAAAAGAAAAGGAATTCAAATGACATTGATCTGTGAAACTACTGGTATTTGTGCTAAGTGTTTTCAGTCGGAAGCAATATTTGTCATGCTACTTAATCCATACTTGATGTACTTACATTAGCTAGGCCTGACAGGGATATACACTGTACATGTTTGTGCATGGTTTACTGTATGTACCAGGTATCGTCGAATTTCAACCATGTCTATTTAATAGAATGCCAAATGCATTCAAAGATCTTTTTTGCATCTGTTTTACGTCAGGTGTGTTCTCTTTGCATTGCAAGTGCCTGAGAAACTTTTTAAAGGAATATACAAACCAGTGTGGGTGGAAAAAATGTCTCATGAAATCTAATCAAATATTTTTTCGATGGTCGATCGTTTAGACAAGAAGAAGAAGTCTTCTAGTGACACAGTAGATGGCTCAACAGCACCACAGCATTATCGACACTCTGTATCAGGTGGGTCAAAGGTCAATAGAACAGCTTCCTGTTCCATTCTGTATCATGGTGAAATATGAGAAGACTGGTTTAACAACTAGCCTTCAAGGAGGGGTTTTTGCTTCTAATTGGTTTTGCCCTTGTCGCAATGGTAGTAATCCCAGGCTATTGCCAACAAGTCTGTCCTTCAATGTGCATCTGTAGGTGTGCATGCTCATGTATAAATTTATGTGTCAGACAGGATTAGTGTATTGTAAATGTACATGTTTGTGGGCCTTCAACCTTTGCCTCATTTATGTCTATAGACCAAATGTGAGCTGATATGCAGTTACATTTGCACTCCAAGAAATGTTTCAATAATAAGCATTGCAAATCTAGCTTGACTAGCAAAGACATATTCAAAGCTACAATGTACCATCTGATGCACTCATTTACTTCATTCTTTAATTGGCATTTCTCTTTGCCGATCAACATTTGCATTATCCAGTGTTTCCCTTTTAGTGCTTCTGGCTTCAAGGTTGACTGACACAAGAACAGGAAACAAAGGGTAACGTTTGAGTCTTGTCATATTTCCTTTTGGCAGAGTTCACCAACAACAACAATTTCACCAGCAAGTCGACCCCTGTATGCACAGTTATTGCCACTCACTCGTTCACAGCAATTCTGCCCTGCGACCTGTCCTTTAACCAGGGTGATCGCATTGACGTCCTGACAAGGACTAATACTTGCTTTGATTGGTGGGAAGGCCGGATGAATGGACGAATTGGAATCTTCCCTGCAAATTATGTCAAGGTTTTGGATTAATCTTAGGAACAAGGGGATATTTGAAGACAAGAATGCAAAGACTCAGTACACATACTAAGCGGACAGTGATTTATTGAAATTTGCTTACTAAGCTGAAATACATATCAAAATGTCACAAATACCAAAAGTGTACTTCATCTTTTGGTAGCTATATGTAACCTGAATCTAGTCAGCCAATACTTTACATCAGCCAATGAAATTGGTTGATCAATGTCAGTTATAGATAAAGGAGTTTTGTTTGTTATTATGTAGGCATGACTGATAAACTTCAAAAGCTCCCATCAGTTATTGTAAGGCCACTTTGAGTCTAAATATTCTGATAGTGTAAAGTTTTATGAAATGGGTGGGCCTAAACAGAAAGTGACACACTGCTGAAGGTTAGAGTGAGATAGAGTTGTTCATTTTTGTCTCCATCCTTCCCATGATGCTTTGCCATGATTGTGGTTGTCATGGTATCCGTTGAACGGATGATTGTATTGTTTGCCAATTTTCTTGTTTTCTTTTGACTGAGTCATGCTGCCTTTCCATGCTGGTGTGGGAAGACAAATTGTCAAAAATTGAAATTTACCAAATCTGCTTCCAGAGAATTGAAGTGATAATTGATGTAAGATTGGAACTTCTCATTATAACAATGTTTGCAATGAGCCACCTGACTACATATATGCAACTGAATTTTAATGAAAGCATAGCACCCTCAAAACCTACAAGAAACTTCACCCCTTTGTTGGTAATATTATGGTAAAGATGTTACTACAGTAGCCCTGTCAAAGTCTCTCCCATCATTTTATCTAGCTGTTGCAGATGAGTTACCAGTTTGGTCACAGTTCCTTTCACAAGACAAATCACAAGTAACCTGATAAACGATGACAAGAGAGTGCTTTTGTCACAGCTTGATAGTTTGTGAAACTGGATAACTTATGACAGACTTACTACAATGCTGTCTTGTTAGTACAACCCAATCTGGGAAATGGCCAGAAGCATTCAAATGACAACTGACACGTGTGAATAGAAAGATAAAAAGCATCTAACACGAGTGACAGATTATAATTTTCAAAAGTGCCCCAAAACAAACCACTTGGATGCCTGTTTTTTAAGTGTATGGTGGTTTATAATTAAATCTAACAGTACATCTCTATTGCTCAAACAATCAGCACCATATTATTGGATACACGGCTCCGACGACATCCTCATGAAGTAAGAGTATTACAGTATGCATTTGTTTATGTTATTCAATGTCTCATGTATGAGCAGATACTAAGATCTTTTCCTCAAAGTCAGTACAAGTATTTGTTACAACACCACAAAAAGCAATGAGGAAAGCTTCACTGACGTATCAGGCTGTTAGCAACATGTACTGTACTAGACCACTGAATATTTACTGT